CAGCATATCCTATCATCCATATCATCACCTATGCATTCTTTGTCTCTTATTGCGTGCTCATGCATATAGGATCGCTAGAGGGAATAACGCTGTTGGAATTCGAGGTAGTGGAAGGAGAGGACCAGGAGGCACCACAGCAAGTAGCTCTAGAAAGGGAAGAGCAGGCCCCAGAGGAATTACCGAAGTGCCCAGATCATAGACCTACATCCTTTCTAAAAGGCAAGCCCCGGAGTATTCTAAGCCTCCTATGTTTTACAAATATCAACTTGAGTCCTTTTATGTTTAATGCATTAGGTTATAGGAGTTGATTGAAAACTCTTGATGCATATAATTTCCTTGTCCATACATATACCTTGAACCCTATGTAGGTCCAGGATCGAATATATGCTTAGCCATGCTTAGCTCGGTAGAAGTTGGGTGATTTCCTGTCACCTGCGAGACATAGGTGGATACCAAAGCAAGGTTGGCTATATTTGCTATCGTAGAAAAGAACCATGAGATAATGTAATTAGAGGCGGGGCAGAGTCTATGTATAGGTTGACTCATGTGATTCTGTCTGTGCCGATTAAGGACCGCATTGTTGGAGGCCCTCTTGTCATTTTGAACGCATGTCTCTCACTTAGGTGGCCGGATAACTAATTCCGACCATGAAGCCCAGTAGCTCAACTCAGGCTAGGCCTCATTCTGTTAGAGTGCGCACACTGTAGGTAGTAAGGATGTGTGGGGAGCCGGACGTGAGCCCAAGGGCAGGGTAGTCCTGATCGTCCTAGCAACCGGTAGAGTCCCTGATTGTGCGGCGCTGATCGAACCCACAAAATATGTACCTAAGTTGTACCAAAGGTGACCTAAGGTTACCGTGGCTGGTAGACCTAGGTTTGTAGTAGGAATACTGCCCAGCTGGTTGCAATCGATTTGAATTGTCGTCTCTCTCGGATAGTGAGAAACTTGACTGAGCTTCTCCATCATAGTAACTTGATGGAATAGGATGGTTATGAGGAACGTGCAAATATTACACCGGGTATGGTTACTATTGTTTGCCTCATCTTTAATCAAGTGATTGCTCTAGTACAGGTGCTAACCTAGACATGCTTAATTTTAATAGGTATAACTTGTTGCTAGAATCACTAATCAGATCAATACATATATATATATATATATATATATTACTTCCGCTTTTATGCAAAATATTGTCAAGCCAGCTCCACTTATAAAGCCTTGCATGATCCTTGGAGTCACTTTATTTTTGGTTTATGACGGGTAAATCTAGTTGAGTACCTTCTCATACTCAGGGTTTATTTCCCATTTATTGCAGATGGTACCGTATACCATGGGTACTGCAAGAATTGCTTCTCTCCCGCCATGGACGAGGAGTAAGGCCGTGGGCAAGGCTCTTCTATGTGGTCTTACCTCTGATGCTTTTATTGGACTCGATCATGAACTGGCATGTATTTGAACAAGTGTGTGTGTGATGATGGTTTTAAAACTATATTGCTTCTGCTACTACATTTAAACTTGGGATGTAATAACTCTTTTCGTACTCCGATGTATGTTGAACTACTTGTGAACTTATGTAACAAGTGGTTTATATGTTGAATCATGTATGATCTTGGTTGTGTGTTGGATTATTTGAGATCCTTCATGATACTCGACAGACTACCGGGTTTATATGGGTTCAAGTATGACGGTGCGATCGCTTCGGTGGTTGTCATTGTACTTATGCTCTTATAAATTAGTCGGTTCTGCCACACAGCCCACAATAGGGTGGCAGAGACTGGCGGGATGATCTCCGGGGCGCTAGAGGACTGGGGTTCGCCCATTTTGTGCTTGAGGTATGATTTGCCGACAACGATCATGACGCGCTTGGTTTCTGCTGCAAGGTCGTTAATGGCAGCTTCCCGATCCAATCTGTCTTGGACGCCGGTGATGGCGACGTCGCCTTGGGTGCGTGCCTGCTTGATGGCGTGCAGACGTTTGTCGAGGTTGATGAGTTGGCGATGCATCTCCCCAAAGTTCTTGCAGAGATCGGCAGCAAGGTTCTCGATCAGTTGTTGCATGGTGGAGGTGGTGGAGTACATGGATCGTCTGGTCTCCGGATACCAGTGTAAGAGCCCTGTTGGGAGGGGGCCTTGGGGGCGGCGGCTAGGGTTTAGGGGGTGTAGGCGTCGGCTATGGGGGGGGAGGCGGGGGAGAGAGAGAGAGAGAGAGAGAGAGAGAGAGGAGAGCAAGGAGAGAGGAAGGGGAAGGATAAGCCTGAGGCTGTTCTTTCTTGATCTCAATGATTACATCGCCTCTCTATTTAATGAGGGAAGTCCTTATAGATATGGACTTCTCCCAATCTATCTAATTTTAACCGATCCTATTCCTATTCTCTTTGCTCTATTGGAGATCCTCCTGGTATGGATAGTGGAGCAGTGGGAGATCACCCCTGCTGTGGGCGCGCCCTCCTTGCTGTGTGCCCCCTCCCCCTCAGGTGGCGCGGCTAACCTGGGCCCCTCCTAGGCCCTCCATCAGACGTATGACACAAACGCTTGTTGTGTATGCAACTCTCTTTTTATTTAGCACCAAGCCACCAATATTAATTGAAGAATTAACATTGATTGTAAGTGGGCACCTGTTTCCTCTTTTACTTTATTCATTAGAAACATTGATTGAAGAATTTCTGTAAATACTGATTTTTTATTCCCTTTTCTGTGATTTAGCTGGATCATTAGTTCTTTTTGGTACTTTTCGTGGATCTTGTTAATTGAGTGGTATCATGGTGCTGAGATCATTTTTAACTAAAGTTGCAGAGTGATATATACCACATGAAACTGTGAGACATTGCCAAGATGCGGAATCAAAAGAGATAGGTAGTTGGCTTTTAGCCAATTGCAAGCTCATTAAAGAAAGGAAGTTAGCAATATTCTAATTATTTTGTGTCTGCATCTCACTACTTCTATTTAGTTGCTATGTTAAAAACACATGAAATTACTGTAGCTTACTGTATTTTTTCATAATTTAAGTGTGGTTATCTTTTGTTAGGTTATGTTGCTTTCAATCCTATCTTCGAAAGAATTCAGTGCACTTTTAATCACTTTGTCATGATGTCAATGGTTATGTGATCCCAGGACAGGGAAAGCAATTAAGAATCTCTGGCATACACTTATGAATAGAAAAAGGAATTCAGATTTTGTCTGAGGTTTAACTATAAATAATAAATATTTTGGCACCATAAAAAAAACCTCGGGCTACGAGGATAAACACCCCGAGCTATCTTAGCTTAAGATAGAGGACATCTTACCCAGCCCGAAAAAAAACCCCAACCTCATGCCCCGCCTGCACATAGGGGCACCATTAAGCCCCTGTTCGGCTTACCCAGAAGCCAGCTTGTTCGGCTTCTTTTTCAGCCAGAATAGTGTTTTTCTCTCACAACAATTCAGCTAGAACAGTGTTTTTCAGCCAGTTTCAGCCAAAATTCAGCAAGCCGAACGGAGCCTAAGAGTGGCTAGGATTCATGCATAAATATTCAAGTTGCAGTGGATTGCCCAATAAGACCCAAACCAAAACAAGGATTCACAGAAGATGGTAGGAATGCGGCACCCAAGAAAAAAGGTTCTAATTCTATGCGCACTGAACGGTATGTTTTGGTCGTCTCCCTCGGCCCTAGATCTCGACGGCAAGTTGGCCCGGTAGTGGTGGATGCGGCGGTTTGGGCGAAGCAGGGGAGGAGAGTCTCGTTGACAGCCGATTGATGGAGGTGACATATTAGCTGAGGGCAGGATCGATGCGGGGGACTAAGGGTGGGCGGTGCAGTGAGGCAGTATCACCCCGTTTGCTTGATCGTTTTGTGGCTTATAAGCCGGTGATGTTGTTTTGTTGTGAGAGAAAAACACTGTATTATGGTTGATAAACATGGCTGATACGATCAATGTCGCTAGCGGTTGCAGGTGGGGACACACAGGGTCACATGCTCGCGTGGGACGGCACCTATCGCGCGATAACTCTATCCTATCATAACTAGGTATACACATGACTCCGTCCATCATAAATTATAAGTTATTTTGACTTTACTTACAGCGTGATAAAGTGATAGATCTCGATTAAACTAGGTACACACATGACTCCGTCCATCATAAATTATAAGTTATTTTGACTTTAATAAATAGTTATAGCGTGATAGATCTCAATTATACTCTGTATTTGACTATTTCCACGTCCAGATAGCACGAAGAAGAGCTGGACGTGGGCCATTTTCGTCCCAGAAGATTGAAGAAACACGTCCGGGACTACGCTGCACGTTAAAACCGAGACTACGCCGACCCTCCTCGTTGACAACGCCACCACGCGCCCACGCCGCCCCCACTTCCACCTGTCGCCAGAGTCGGAGTGCCGGCAGCCGACAGGCATTCCCTTCCTTATTTCCCGTGCTTCAGTGCGGGCTTGAGGCTTGAGCGATTGGTTCTGGTCCCTTCACGCGGCGGCACGCATGCGGCGGAGCGCAGACGGCGTCACCACGCGGCGGTTAATCAACAAACCCTTCCTTTCGATGTCCCCATTGGCCCCCATACGCGCTTTAATTTCTATTTATATGTATTCTGTTCTGGTGTTTGAGCGACTCTATTCGACGCCCTCTGTTTCTTGGATTAGACCGTCCGGACAGCATTTCGTTGTTGTTATCGCTGTCCGGAAGTCCATCCAGAGAATCGAGTACAAGAAGCAGGAGCTTTCAGCTGACCATTACCCTGTCATTTTCCTGCAGGAGCTCCGGCAGCGGCAGGTCCTCGAGTTGCTCGCGCAAAATCGATTGGATTGCAGACGAGGTGCGGCCACACATGAATGGACTCTTTTACTGTCCTGAATGAAGTTTACAGTGACTGGAATCAGAACTGACATGAGTAGATCAGAACTAGAATCACTTTGTTAGTTTGTTCCATCTTTTTATAAGCCTTCTAAATCAATTCCGATTTGGCTTCAAAATGAATCTCACCTACAAGTTATTTCGTCGTAACTGTTAATGTAGCATGGGGGACTCCAGGGGCCTTCTAAACGATTCAAGGCTGAAGAACGGAAAAGGACAGGTAAATGTAGTCTAGTCATGGATACATCTGAATTTTTGTACTCACATGTCTCAAAGTTCATATGTGGATGTTTCATGGAAGATAGGTAGTGCCTTTTCTTGATCTAACTAGAACAGACTATGTTAATCGATGGATTAGTCGTAGTAGAGGGGATGCATCAAGAGTGAGTAGGAGATTGCTTCTGTTGAAAGTGCTTTCTCTGAAACCAAGCTAGAGCAAGTCACCCACAGGTGCATCTATATGGTACCAAAAAAAAAACTGTATTGCCTGGGTTTGGAAGCTATTTGTGAAAACTGCTTGTGATAATGTACAATCCCAGCATCCCAGCATGCTGTACATTATTAAAGAAATGATTAAGTAGGATAAAAATTATGCTATGAGTGTACTGGTCCCTGACAGTACTGGTAGACTGGCAGTTTACAGACCACTTGGTTATAGTGCATCAAGTCATGGTTGCAATTTCTCATTCAGGCATATAAGAATAAAAAATGCACACTTAATGTGTATCTTGAAAAGGGTGTAAGTTGGATATGAGAGTAGGCAGTCTTGTTTCATGATGACTACTTTTGTAGACTGATATGATATGTCTCAATTGTTCATAAAATTCATTAATGAACCAAATAGGAGAAGAAGCATAGAATAGTTAGTAGTGCCTTTGGTTGTGGCATGATGAAGCTAATGGTAGGAAATTTGGATGATATGGGTGAATTTGATGACCTGAATTGGAGTTGACCATTTTTGCAATGAATATGCATGTGTGTAATTGTGTGTATCTCCATTCCATCATCAGATCATATTTCTGGTTGACATTTCTTTGACTTTGTAACACTCGCAACCCCAATTTATGCTTTTCAACATCCACATTTGCTTTAATTTTGACTCTGCTGTGTAGCTGAGTGCCTATCCCACAAGACAGGTAATTCAGTCAAGAGGAGGAACACATGGTCACAAGATGTAAGTTATTAGTTTATTTCAGCTACCTTCATTTATTGTATATTTTCCTCCTGTTCTGTATTGCTAAAAAAATGAACATTTTTCAGGAAGATGCTATTCTTATTCAAATGGTAGGCCCGCATTGCAAAAACAAATGGTCCGATGTTGCACACTCTATACCTGGTCGTAGTCGAGAACAATGCCGAGAAAGGTAAAATTTACAGGATACACATTCGTCGGTTGCTTCCCTTTATGATTCCAAATGAAAATGATTTGTCCTAGCCATTACTTTTGGTTTTTTGATCCTTTGGCAGCCTCATTGAAGGCATCTCGCCACACCAGCATGTCAATACCAGTCTACCACCTTTTAGCTTGTTCGATTTACTTCCGATAAAGGCAACTAGATGGTTGTTTGAGGAAAAGTATTGCTTTTGAGGTCTTGATATTTTGCAGTGCAGTCTTTTGGTACAAGCAATGCAACTTCTTTTTTATATACTCTCAAGCCAGGGTCTTTTTGTCTGTTTACAGGTTACAGATTTAATGTACTGATAGGTCCAGCATATAGTTTATGATGTTTTACACTTTCACAGCATGTCCAAGCATACTTATAGCTATATTCAAAATAGTTCGTTCAAAAAACAACTAAAGTAATAATAGAATCTTTGTTGTTGGACTTCCTATCCTTCATAAATTGACGGCTACAACATTTTTATTATTCCACAACACATCTAGAACTATAAACATCAGATGATGGTCCCAAAAAAGTCAATTAAAATATTAACTCTGAAGTCTTAAATATCTAAGAGAAACCTTGATTACCATTACAACTTTCTGTAGCACCATTTATAAAACCTGAGTGCATGTTTTCCTGAGAACGCATTCTTTAACTAAAAGACACTTTTTGATCCACTTTAAGAAAGTATCAATTGTCTAGTGTGTTCATTCAAGTAACCCTAGCAAAACTTGGTGATTATTCTACTATGGTTCTTTTCTCAGTAATAATATGTCATAATGCAAATCTAGGACCAATGACCAAAAGTACTTTCTACATACTACAGTCTAGCAAAGCCTGGCAATTAGAGAGCCAACACATATTTTTCAAAACGTTGTTAACTTGTTGTGCTATACACCTATTTACGCAATAGTTTTTTTTCCGAACATGCATTGGCATGTATTTCATTAAGAGGAAACTCATTATTGGGTCACAAATCAAAATTTTTGAATCAGTAGTTTCAGTTATACCTATATATTGTAATCCTTGTACAGATTTCTATCTTTGAAATTCATCCTTTCAAATCTGTCTCAGAACTGAGAATTTACCTTTGTCAAATTTGATGATCCAGATGGATGTTTTATCTTGACCCTGCTGTGAACAACCAGCCATGGTCAGAACAGGAGGACATAACATTGATCCGTGCTCATCGTATTCTTGGAAACAAATGGTGTAAACTGGCTACACATTTTCCTGGCAGGTGAGGTCATGATGTTGAAACAGAACTTGAAGGACCAAATGTCAACTGTTCAGTTTGTATCAGATTCCTACAGAATAGTAAATAGTAATTTGCACTATCTATTATATCATTTGTAAGCTTCCTTCGATGCTATTTAAAAGACAATATAGCTCATATCCAGTCATTAAAAATATAGTACTGTTAAAAATATAGATGAAAATTACTTTTTTTTTCTTTTCATAATTTAAGTATGGTTATCTTTTGTTAGGTTATGTTGCTTTCAGTCCCATCTTTGAAAGAACTCAGTGCACTTTTAATCACTTTATCATGTTGTCAATGGTTATGTGATTCCAGGACAGGGAAAGCAATTAAGAATCGCTGGCATACACTTATGAATGGAAAAAGGAATTCGGATTATATCAGAGGATTGACTATAGATAATAAATTCTTTGGCACCATTAAGAGTGGCCAGGATTCATGCATAAATATTCAAGTTGCAGTGGATTGCCCAATAAGACCCAAACCAGAACAAGGATTCACAGAAGATGGTAGGAATGCAGCACTGAAGAAAAAGGGTTCTGATTCTATGTACAGTGAACGGTATGTTTCAGTCAATGTCTCTGAAAGGCAAATTGCTAGGTCTAGTTTGCCCGTGGTAACCAAGGAAAAAGAGGCCTTGCCATCAAGTTCAGTGGTTCAGAAGGTCTCTTGTGTTGCAGAAAATTTTGAAACATCCCTGCAAAAAAAGGAATCGACAAATTGTCTTGAAGCTCCACTTAACGGTGTAGATGCAGGCTTCTATCCAGCTCGTGATCATGTATCTATTCATGATCATTTTGATGACATATGTAGTAGTGCCAATCCAGAGTCACCGGAGCTACATCTGGCAAACATAGCAGAGCTTCTGGACATGTCATATTGTGACAGCTTGATGATCGTTCCACCTGATTCTCCAAATGATGGAAACTCAATGGAAGGGACGGGGCATTAGTTTTTTTTTAAAAAAAAAAATAGTCAGGAAGTGCACCTGCCCTAGGTCAAGAAAAGCAAGAATCTATCCTTGATCTTGAGATCCCTGTAACATATCTTCAACTAACAATGAACATGTTGATCCTTGTACCTATAAATCCCTGTCTTAGTTACAGAATTTCCTGTGTCGTAGAAAGATCGACGCACATGCATTGATGCGTGCATACCTGTTGTGTAATATAGGCTATGTAGAAGAGCAATGCTGGCTGTCTGCTCTGTTCCTTAATATATGCTATGTAGAAGAGCAATGCGTGCACATGCATTGATGCGTCCATAAGATTTCTCAGCCATAACATCTTCAGAGCAATATCCGTACCGTGCAAGGCTGGAAACCTGCGGTTTTGTGTTGAAATATTTCTGTGATTTCTCTGTGCCTTAAATGCTGGTGGTAATCGGTTTTATAAGGACAATCGAGTTTTATTTATATTTAATTTGCTGCCACATAAAGATTTTTATGACATGGCAATATTTTTAAGAGGAGAAATAAGTGAGTTCAATCTAGATGAAACACGAAACTCTCATACAATTACTAACTCTATACGAGTTATGGAATTAAACGTCCATTAAACTATAGAATAAAACTATATTCATTGAGTATGGATGCTTCATTCATGTTTTGTTTCATTTTACATGACATGGTAGTCTTAGAAACAATGGCCTCGTTCGCTGGTCTGAAACTTGATTGAAAAACACTGTTTCAGCTGGTTTGTTGTGAGAGAAAAACACTGTTCGGCTGGTTTGATGAACAGTAACGTATGACTGAAACCAGCCGGCTGGCTGAACGGTTCAGACCAGCGAACACCACCAACGTCTCCAAATTCTCATTGACAATGGTCTAAGGAATAAAAAGCTCGGTGGGAAATGTACTTTACTGGTTTAGTACAAAATCCGTAGCTACAGTTTACTGTCGTGCATAACTGTATAACAAGTTAGGTTATTAGACCCCCTCTCAATCGAAGTTTTATTCTCGTTTAATAGAGTGCCACTGTGCCGCATAAGCAACGAGTTTTATTCTCGTTTAATACCGTGCCAACGTACCACATAAACAACTTTAATAATATAGCAAAAAGAATTAAAGAAGGGAGAGATGAAATGTGTTTCATCTAGATGAGATCTCAGGGATACTGTCTCTACGTCCTAATGTGTCATAATATTAAATACAATGAGCACATATGAACACAAAAAATAAATTATATATTGTAGAACGTTGTTTCAACAATCAAGCAAATGCTATTTTTTATTGTTTTATGTGAGTTTCCATACTTGAAATCAATAAAATGAAATTGTCCATTGCAATTGGCCCTATAAACTTCATTCTGAATCTAGAGTGTGCGAGGAAGAAACAGAAGAAGAAAATATGGTCCTTGTGAATAATAACATTTGTGATTTAGGAGAATTTATTTATTTATCGGACTTGCTAGTGGTCGGACGTTCGATCTGGGGCGCTAGCGTCGGACGGTGCCCGCGCACAAGAGAAGGAGCCCGCATCACTAATTTTTTCGCGCACCCCATCGCGTGGGCCCCCCACGCTTGCGCTCGGTTTCTCTACGCCCGCTCGATGGCGCCCCAGCAGCGGGCCCGCGCCACCCAAACATCACCCAGCAGCTGCAGCAGGTGGGTCCCATTGCAATATGTGCAACACCCAGACCCAGGTGAAACACTTGCAACATACATCCGAAAACAGCTATAAAACTTGTAACATACGTCTGAAACACTTGCAAAACATCTGGAAACCACTTGAAAGCCATTGCAAACATACGCAACATCTAGATAAACCACTTGCAACAGACGTGATGAAACACCTAAAACACTTGAAACATACGCTTGCAACATGCATGTATATACAAAATTCACATCTACTTTTGCAACATCCAGATAAAAACACTTGCAACATACATCGGATATAAATAAAACATTTAAAATATACACTTGAAAAATACGTGTATAGACATCGTAACATGTGGAACATCCCGATCTACTTTTACAACATCGATATAAAACATTTGCAACATACCTCTGAAACACTTACATACGTTTACAACATGCTCTTTCAGCACAAACATCTCCTTGTTACTTCGGCAAATGGAGGCTCGTCGGCGCTGGAGGTCACTGGTGTGCTCGCTGACAACACGGAGCTGAACGGCTGCGCACAGAGGGCCGATTGGGGGTGACACAGGCGGCGGTGACGTAGAGGGCGGGTGGGCGAGCAAAAGGGTTGCGTAGAGTGTGTGGGGCGTCTGGACGTCGGCTGCTCGAGTTAGTGTTCCCTTTATTTATTGTTAATTTGTCATTGTCATTTCTGAAAATTTCAGATAGTCTTAAAACAAAAATAATTTTAGTCAATAACGGCATTGACAATCGGCTGATCGTCGCACGGCAACTATATATAGGCATTGGATCGGCCGACCGCTCCATCCGGTAGAGTCGATTTGGCGCCAAGGAGTGGGCGGGAGCGTTGTCCCGGGCGGGCTCTCTCTCCCGTCCCGTCCCGTCCGTCCGGTGCGGCTGCGGTCTCGCCTCTCATCATCATCACCTCTGCTAAACAAAGCAAAGGCCCCGAGCTACCGACCACCGGCCCGCCACTCCGCCAGCGAAAAATCTACTCCTGCTAGGAGGAGCAGTATATATCCCTCATTCCCCCGTCCCGGCCGACATGCGCCGCACGTTCGTCCCCAGCTTAAATTAGGCGGGGCCGCCGCCGCCTCCCCGCCGCCCCCCCGCCCTTTTTAGTTTTCCCGCAGGCCGGCCGGGTCCATCGCCTCGCCTAATTCAACCCCCCCTCGGCCGTCGTGCGCGACATGTTCTCTCCTCCATCCCGCCCCGCCCACCGCTGCTCCCTTGCCTGAGCTGCCGCCCGCCCGCGCGCCGCCGTCGCCGTGGGATCGATCGGTGGTAATCGGTCCAGAGCGCGGTGCAGCGAGCGGCCGGGAGCGAGCGAGGGGGGCGTCGCGTCATCGTCCGTCCGTCGTGCGTTCTTGGCCTAGCTTGGTCCGCGCACGTCTCGTCCTCATCAGCTGTGGGGGGGAGCTGATCCAGGGTGGCGCCTCGTGAGGCGGCGCGGCGGTGCAAGACCGCCGAGTGCTGCGCGACCAGGCCTTGCGCGCCAAGCTCGAGGCGGTGGGCTGGGTGATGGTGCGCTTCCTCCGGCGCGGACACAGCCTTGACAAGACCGGATCGCACAACAGCAGCAACCAGCAGCAGCAGCGAGAGCGACACCTCGACAGGAGCGGCAGCGACACGGGCGAGATGCACGAGTCCCTTGGCAATGGCGCCGGCGGCACCCCGCCGCTTCCCAACGGCCGGGCGGCGGCGGCTGGGGCGGCGCGATCGCGCCTGGGCCGCGACGGCCCACCCTCAGGTACACCACGCCGCATGATGCAAGCTGCTCTTCTTTAGTTCATTCATTCATCCTCGACGCGCGATCGCGAGCGCCCTCGATTTCATTCATTTTCATGCCGTGAATCGTGATCCTCATCCTCACTGTCCACTACTCACTGTTACTTGGTTCCAGAGCTGGACATCATGAAGGAGAAGTTCGCCAAGCTCCTTCTGGGCGAGGACATGTCCGGCACCGGCAAGGGCGTGGCGTCCGCGCTGGCGCTGTCCAACGCCGTCACCAACCTCGCGGCGTCCGTGTTCGGCGAGCACCGCAAGCTGGAGCCCATGGCGCCCGACACCAAGGAGCGCTGGAAGAGGGAGGTGGGATGGCTGCTGTCCGTCACCGACCACATCGTCGAGTTCGTGCCCACGCGCCAGACCGCGGAGAACGGGACAACAATGGAGGTGGGTGATCACAATGGAGTTTCGCGTGTGTCTATCAGCTGCCCCCGTCGTGAGCGTGACACTGACACCGACACCATGCACCTTCTTGATTGGCAGATCATGTCCACGGCGCAGCGGCGCGACCTCGCCATGAACATCCCCGCGCTGCGGAAGCTCGACGCCATGCTCATCGTGAGTGCTGCGTGCTCGATCTGTCTATATATATAATGATGCTCGATGGATCAACGATTGAAAATTTGGCGAGATGAATGGATCATATGCTCCCCGCATGCAGGGCTACATGGACAACTTCGTGGACCAGACCGAGTTCTGGTACGAGAAGGGTGGTGACAACAAGCGCGACGACGACAAGTGGTGGATGCCGACGGTGAAGGTGCCGTCGGAGGGGCTGTCGGACGTGACCCGCAAGTGGCTGCAGTACCAGAAGGAGTGCGTCAACCAGGTGCTCAAGGCGGCCATGGCCATCAACGCGCAGGTGCTCGTGGAGATGGAGATCCCGGAGATCTACATTGAGTCGCTGCCAAAGGCAAACAGACAATTCGAATTCCTCCTCCTTAACTTGACATTGGATCAATTAATTCAGTAGATCACCATCTCTGTCAAACCATGGCATGCTTTGACATGATGAATACTATGCAACAGAAAGGGAAGACGAGCCTGGGCGACGCCATCTACCGTAGCATCACCGAGGACACCTTCGACCCGCTGGAGTTCTTGGCCGGCATGGACCTCTCCACGGAGCACAAGGTGCTGGACCTCAAGAACCGCATCGAGGCCTCCACCGTGATCTGGAAGCGCAAGATGCAGACCAAGGACTCCAAGTCCTCGTGGAGCTCCATCGTCAGCTTCGAGAAGCGCGAGCAGTTCGAGGAGCGCGCCGAGACCATCCTCCACCTCCTCAAGATCCAGTTCCCGGGGACACCGCAGTCGCAGCTCGACATCTCCAAGATCCAGTACAACAGGGTACGTGGTATTTCCTTGCTGCATCTGGGTGGCAATGGCAGCAATGGCATTGACAATTTGATGCTGGATGCTGCAGGACGTCGGTTACGCCCTCCTGGAGAGCTACTCGCGCGTGCTGGAGAGCCTGGCGTACAGCGTCATGTCCCGCATCGAGGACGTGCTGAGCGCGGACGCGGCGGCGCAGAACCTGACGGCGACCGAGGCGGCTCGGCGGATGATGGAGTCGGCGGAGCTGCCCGCGGCGCGGAAGCTGGACGCCAAGGAGGAGCTGGAAAAGCTGAACGAGGCCCCGGCGTCGATGACGCTCTTCGACTTCATGGGCTGGCACTTCGACCAGGATGAGCTGATGAAGCGCAGGGAGGACGGCACGCTGGACGCGGACGGCGAGGCCATGCTCCTCAAGAAGGCGCCCAGCATGGCGCCCAAGAAGTTCTCCTACGTCGACAGCCTCTCCTCCGGCGGCGGCACGAGGAGTCCCTCGGCGCGCCACTGATAATATATATGATCGTCGATCGTCGCGCCGCCACCCGCTGACCGGCCGCCGACGTGCATGCTAACAGAAGCTCAGTCATCTACGTACGATCCAACACGACCACCATGGATCGTCGATCGTTCAGGAGAAGCGACGACAGTGGAGAGGAGAGACGACGGCTCCTCCCATCGATTCTTGCTTACGTGTACATAGCTGAGGCGCAGCACGTACGTACCCATTATTTAGTGATGTTCTCTCTTACTGATTCCTTGCCTCTACGTTCTAGAACATTCTAGATGAGGGGAAGAAGAGGGCAGGGTGATTTCATCCACCTACTACGCATTCAAGTGTTGCAGGGTTGCCGCTGTGCGTAGCTACTGCTTAATTTCTCAACTAGTACTACGTATTTTGGACATGGCTGATGGATCTCAAGAGCGGTTCTCCAGAAGAGGAGACACTTTGAGCTCTGGGGTATATGTATCAAACTTGCAGTCAGAAAAAACACAAACATGTATTCTTTGATTCATTTCAAGCTAATCATTTTCTGCACTCGGATTTTCCAGTTCAATTCGTGGAGAAATGTATGCACTTGTTTTCACGGATTGACATCAGAAAGCAAAAGGACCCTGGTCCAACCTCCGACGAAAAGTGCACAACATGACATTTATATGTACCATGAATAAACCGACGAAAAATGTGAAACCATACATCTTTAACCGTGTCAAATGTGTACAGAATGATCCAATTTGCATGAACAGGGCCCACTCATTCAGCACTTCCAGGTTATCTCAGCATACATCCTTGAGAGGATTCCAGGAGCCTTTTGACTTCAGTGAACAACGTGCCCACACGTATGTTGCTATCTACCTTATCTATGCATGTATATGAATGGCAATGAAACAGCAAAACCCAAATATGAAATTGAGAAGTTAACTAATCCCTCATTTTCTCTCCTCTTATGGAAAAAGAACAAAGGAAATCACTTGTTAGCAATTGAACCCGAACCAGGCATTTACAACATCAAACCTCAACGAATAAGTGGGAGGCTCTATGTACATTTATTTATACAGCAGTCAGGTCTCTAGATCATGCTCCTGCTGGCGATGTTGACCCAAGGCAGTCGGGCTAGGAGCATCGTGCTCAATGTAGTCATCCGTGGCTTCCTCCTCGTCATCAGAAGATAGAAGGGACGAACCCATCCACTGCTTGAAACCATCGTTGATGCGGCGCTGCATCTCTGGAGTCACTTCCATTTTGGACTCCAGCATCTCCAGACCCACATTGTGGGTAACGTAATCTCCCTCGTCAAGGACAACTGCAGCTCTCCTTCTCAAGAAGAAGGCTGTGCCACCATATAACACTGCCAAACCCCAGGCTGTAATTTCATAGCACCAGAAAAGAGGAACTGAACAAGTACTTCCAAGGGCCAGCAGTGTTGATCCAAGAATAATTGCCATGAGACCAAATATTACAGCGAAAACTACATTAAGTATAGCCAGGCAACGAACACCACCTGCAATTCAAGACAATATTAGTGATCCAACTAAGAAATTACTAATATTAGTGACCCAACTAAGAAATTACTTGTGTATTCATGTTACTATGTTAGGATTTTACATATATATAAAAGAGATACAGCTGGTGGACGGTGGTGCTACTGCATTATAAAAGTGTATAGTTGAACCAGTAGCTAATGCATCAGCCACATATAATTTCCTTCGCTCATAGCAGGCTTTGTGCGCTATTACATTAGTTTAGTAAATTTCTCTAACATAATGACGTTCATAAGCTTGAAACTATTAATAGGAAAGCCATCTACAATATCTGGACATTAATAATTAGTAATATGTTACCAAGAACAGGTTGCTAGTAAATAACTATCACTAAATTTCAATCTCGTGCACAGTGAACAGACATCAGAAAAAAGGTGGATACATCAAACAATGAGAAAAAAAATTGTCTAGAGCAAATGTTTAAAAAAATGATAGAAAGTGGACCTATTAAAAACAATTGTATCCTTGTTTTCCTTTTTTCGCCAGAGGAAGAGACAGCCCACGACTTCTCTTAATAAGAAATGTACTTGTTTATCAACAGACTGATTCAAACGTACTGTTTGCAAGATTCAAAACAGTTGCTCCATAAACTCCAGGTTTGCAAACTAGCCTAATAATGCAGGCCACAGCAGGTGCTACTACCAAAAAGCTAAAGCTCAGTACATTCATTTTCCATTATTTCACGAAGAAAAGTTGCTTGAAACACACATACAAAAGGTTATGCGCGTTGTCGTAGTATGTTCATTAGAGGGCCTGCAAAATCTTAATATAATAGAGAAAAAGGAGAAACATGTCTAATGAAAGGACCAATAGATGCATGCATGCATGTTTCTTCTGCAGAGCAAATAGAAACATTTTCACATCCTAATGTCATCATAGCAGCAAGAAGAGGGGAGAAGAGTCCCTCCTGCTTAAGCATGTATACTTCAGTCCTAAGCCTGCACATATGCGTGGATTGATGGTTGCACTATGGAAACAAGGACCCATGCCAGAAACACAAAGACAGCAAGCTTGACACCAGAGTGAGCGGTGGCCGACCAAGAGGGGCTTGGCGACCACCTCAATCTTTGTTCATGCACATTCTCCCACCGTTAAGCTCACGTCCGCCTCCGTCTCTGCCAACCACCACATCGTGCTTGTCGATGTTAACCCAATACGCCAGGTAGGTGCCGTATCCCGTATCCTGTATCGGATACATATTCGATACGGATACATGGCAGATACGAAGTGCATATGTATCCATGAAGTATCAAAATCAAAATAAAATTAAAAAAACTAATTTTGGATACTTGGGCCGATGAGTATCAGCCCATGCGCTTTGCTCCAGCAGACAAATGTCGTAGCGCCTTGCTATCCATTATCCCATGTCTGGTACATAGTCAAATTAATCCAAGGTCCAGTCTAACACCCTGCACCCAAAATTTGCTTATATAGCCCAGCTCATCACGTGGAACGGGCCTGCATACACGTAGCACCTCTCTTACACTTTCATCCTCGCTTCGTGCAAAAGGGTTAACCCGGAGGTGCTACGTTTGGAACAAGGATTATAAGCTGACTTGCCTTCAAAAAAGGATTATAAACTGACCGTCACCCTTCTAAACTTCCAAGGTGGTACTAAACCCACGAACTACAACTCCATATGCCACATGGGTCATATGGGCCAACAACACAACTACTACAGGCTTCTAACGGGCTGGGGTGTTACATTCACCACCCCCCCCACCCCCCCACCCACCCACCCACCCACCCCTTAAGTTGTAGGGACTTATAATGCATATATAGAAACACATGACACATCCACGGGTAGGGACCTATTCGGCGTATCAGTAGTTGTTCTGTGGGGATAAGGATACCAAAAGAAGGCCTTTAGCTAAAGAAATAGAAAAATGTGCAATATCTATTGTCGAGAGGGAAAACAGTTATCATACATAAGCTGGATTTGTTCGTAAGGAAACTTAGTGCACATAGGGCAGGGCTAGCCAAACTTGTGGGAATTGGACCAACTTGTTCCTTTTCATGTTTTATGTGATCTCATTAATTGACCAAAAATAATCATTTTGGAGAAATAATTAATGATGACATGCATCACACTGTAATATAGTTTACTATGCACCTCATGACCATGCATTGTCTTTGCAACATGTCTAGTAACAAATTTCCTACGCTGGCAAGTTCAACTTGTTTCAGTGCACAATTACTTATTGCGATGTTCTGCTTCTGCATGACACATAAATGATGATTTTGTTGTGTTGCCTGGTAGACTACAATCTCCACTATCCAGACATTAGTACATTACACCAGCAGAATTTGCTTTCTGCAAAATGTGTGCGGACAGCAATTACCAGGAAATACCAGCAGGAGCAACTGAAGATAGAGATGTAGGATTTGCATCAGTTAAACTTTTGCTTCGGAATAATTATCTTATAAGTTATGGCTAGCCATCCCGATAGGCATATTGAATCAAAATATTTGTTCTACCAAACTAATGCATTTCTTGCCTGCTTTGCAAACCTTAGTGTCATCCTACAAGACTGAAATATACCTTTATAGAGTGGAAAAGATAAGGGTTTCTGAAGATCTAGGGTGAGAGAATGCTGAATAATGATAATGCACAAACAATAGACCAAACAGGGGGTAGTAATGTATTCTTTCAGAAACATAACACATTTGAATGCCTTAAAACCTGAAATGGCCTCAGATAGCTCATAGTTTCTTAGTACCACCAAAGAAAGATCGAAGACAAATCATAAACAAGAAGGATGCATATGAAAACTCACCTCTTCTAGAAGCACAGAAATTATTCTCAACAACACAGATCATTGGATGCCTTCTTGGAGCAGCATATGCAACAGACATTCCTGCAGGTATGTATTGGTTTAATACTTTAATGCTTAAATGGAGAAGGAGAAAATGAATTTGAAAGTACTGTTCGCTGATTCATTGTGAGAGAAAAACACTGTACCATAGCTGATAAGTTCAAGCGAACAGAGCCTAGCATGAGTGACAAAGAGAATGCCTAATACAAACCATATTGAGCTATATCAATATGTACCATCTACAAAATATACAAACAAAAGACACAAAGCTACTGCAGCATAAATATCCCTTTCCTTCAGCAAAGCATAAGTATCACCTAAAAAAATAGCAATGTAAGAAACCAATCGACTGCTCACCTGCCTAGCCTAGATGGGTATTGCTATACCAGACAAATAAAACCATGAGAAGGCTGATTTGTGTTGTTGCAATGTGGAATCTAGTTGTACCAATTCCAGTATTATTTTGCAAATGTGAATACATACAAAACAGGTTCTCTAACATAACTTCTACATCCATAGCAAAGTTCATCAGTATAAAAGATCGTAAACAAAATGAGACCTCATGCCCATTTAGGCCACATATACAGCCAGCATAAAAAAAACAAGTTCACATGGTGAAGCAAGACAAACAAAGACACATCCTGTTCTATTATACATAGAAAGTCCCTTCAAATTGCAATCGACCCACAATTTTCAATCCAAACCCAATGTCCAATACAGAAAAGCTAATAAACACATCAACCTATCTAGTATAACACAAATAGTTCTTGCAAAAATCACATCAGTGCCACGGGGAGCGAGGTTGTGACTCACCAGCTACAAGGTAGGTGAACGAGGCGCCAAAGAGGACGGCGGATGGCACGAAGACGACCATCCAGTAGAAGTCGGCGGCCTCAGCGGTGGTCATGTAAAAGGCACCCCCGCGGTACCGGTACGCCTCGGGCTCCTCCTCCCTGCTGCTGGCGGCGGCGGGCAGCGCCTCCAGCATGCGGCGCTCCCGGCAGAAGGGCCGCTCGGCGGGCTCGGCAGGGAACACGATCCCGAGGCTGACGCACGCGGCAGCTGCCACAGCGGCGGCGACGCAGCAGGCGGCGCTCACGGCCAGCGGGCGGCGGAGGCGAGGCGGGAGGGAGTGCTCGTCGTCGCGGAGCGCCGCGTAGGCGCGCCGCGGCATCAGGAAGGCCTGCCGCAGCGCGTCGCCGAGGAGTGCCATCTGCGGCGGCGGCGGCGTTGCGGAAGGGGAAGGAGGAGAGGAGGGTAGTGGGTGGGCGAAGGCGAGAACCCTAGACGCGGTTTTGCGGGAGGGAGAGGGGAGGATTCGGATGCATGGAGCGGACGAATTGGGAAGAAGGTGGTCAGGTGAGGAGGGCTCCGCTTTCGGGGGCTAGTTTGGTTGCCTTGCGGGAAGGGGAAAGCAATGGGGGCCGCGAACCCGCGAGGTTGCTCCAATTCTCTGATTTTGTCAACGCAAGAAAAGTTTGGTAAACATTAGGGCCCTGTTTGGAACACTTTTTTTTTTCATAGGAAAAGTGAAGGAAATCAAAACGGAGGAAAGGAAGATGGTCATAGCGTGGAACAAAGAAAAGGAGCGAATTCTTTTCTCTGGAATACTGTAGCAACAATATAATTTCACGGGAAAGAAAACATCCGCTCCTGCCTTTGGTTTTTCGTTTCTTCACGGAAGCCCAATGCAGCCGTGCGGTTATCGTCTGCTGGGTGGATTTATAACCGAGTACTAATAGCTTTCAGTCAGTTTCAATGTTTAAAATATTCCTACACCAATTTCCTTCGTTCCAAACGCCTTATTCTATTCATTTTCTGTGTTTTTTCATTCCTCTGTTTTGTCATAACACATCTATCTCATTCTTGCATTTTCCTCCATTCCTCTGTTTTGTATTTCTACATTCCAAACAGACCCCTATGACTAAAATTTATAGCTACTGAAACTAATGACTAAATTTTAGTCACCTCTGATTGGTTCTGTGGTTAAAGATTATTAAAGCAATTCAACAAAGATCAAACTATCACTGATGAATATCAGATCAGGATTGGGGACCAGCAACAATGAGGGACATCCCTTGTCCACCGGGCACTTTAGCCCACTTTTAGTTACTCTTAGGTGACCAGGGTAACCAAATAGGCCCTTAGTGTTGCACTGTTATATCACTATTGTTTTCACCATTTCAAACAATACATTTTACATAGAATAAATATAGGTCTATAATAGTGATAGTACCAATGGTTTCATATTTTGCTTTTCACTAATTTGAATGCTCAAAGTTTTTTTATAACAATGCTAATATGAAAGGGGGGCAATAATTAGAATCACATGAAAAACCAGGTATCTTTGCTAGCCATAAAAACGAGAAACATAACGATTGTTGAGTGAAATGTTTCTCACCTGATCCGTTTGGCTCTAATTCTTGCAAGAATGGAAATGTTTCTTGTTGCCAAACGGGGCCTAAACATCATGTACTATGAAACCAATAACCAAAAAAATCTAAGTAGTTTGATTAGAAAAATGGCTCCGGAACATGTGGATGTTATTTGACAATTTGTGAGCTCCAGTTTGTTGCTTCTCATTTTCAATGGGAAATAGGTAATAATTTCCTAGAGAGGGGGGTTTAAAAGTATAGATGGCCAAATGGGCCGCCCGACACAGCTGGGCATGGACCTAGTAAAAGCATTGTGTGACGAGTTTCATCCATGCTGAAGAGGGCTTCATGCCTGGCCATCATCCTAGGATGGCAGATTAGACGGATTTTTGTGTTGGCCTAGCCCTATAAGCATGGTCTGCAGAGCAGGTTAGGCTAGCCTGAGGACCGTGTCTCACCGTGCCACTGTCGCAACCCCACTGTGTCACGAAGGAGCGCTGTTGCTCGCCACATGGGGAGGAATCAACGCGAGGACATCGGTGAGGGAGCATATCCGAGAGGGAGGAGTTGAGAAGGGGGCACCGAGTGAGGAGGCACCTCGATGGAGGGAGCCGCCTAGTGGGGCGAGAAAGGAGGTGTGTGCGGAGCTAGTAGAGAGCGAGGCAAAGCGAGTTGCGAGCAAAGAGGAGGAGATGCATGTGTGGAGGGGTGGGCATTGGAAATGCGGCATCTGCATGGTGAGGAGCCGATTTGGACTCACGTGGGGTAGGGGATCGGGAGGTGAACTGCGGTGGATAAGGATTGTTGGAACTGGTCAATTAGGGTTAAGAATTATGAGTTGTTATATGTATACTTGATTGGATATCGGGCCTCTTGTGCGGCCTGGACCATTTTAGCAGGTTGTGCATGCCTAGAAGCGGTCTAGGCACCACACAGTGGATCGGGCTATGTCGTGTTCGGGTTGGGCCAAAATAGCAGGCTTCGACTGGGCCACCATGCCTTGAGTTGCATAGCCATATGAATTGGCATGAACTTGTACCAGTCCAGCAGCAACCATAGTTTTCTAAAAAAAAGCAACAACTATAGTTTAAGTTATGTATATTATGGCCTTATTTAAATTCAGAGTGTAAAGTTTTAGGGTGTCACATCGGATATCATATGGGGGTCACATGGGGTGTTCGGATATTAATAAAAAAATAAATTACAAAATACGTTAGTAATCCGCAAGATGAATTTATTAAGCCTAATTAATCCACCATCAGCACATGTGTTACTGTAGCACAATATTGTCAAATCATGGACTAATTAGGCTTAAAAGATTCATCTCGTAAATTAGTTATAAACTGTGCAATTAGTTATTTTTAGTCTATATTTAATACTCCATGCATGTGTCCAAATATTTGATGTGATAGGGAGTAAACTTTAGGGTGAGAAACTAAACAAGGCAAATATGTATGATGTTGTGTACTTTTGCAGGGTAGAAATCTGTTTCTCTAAACAGTCTAGGTTCTTAGCCATACACACCCACTGAATTAGTTCCTTGTGTCCTCAAAATTCTAAAGTTGCCTTTTTAGCTGGATGGTCTGTTCGCTTGAACTAATCAGTCGGCTTATTAGCTAGAATCTACAGTATTTTTCTCTCGCAACAAATCAGTTTCAGTCGGTTTATCAGCCGGCTTTGATACCAGCCGAACATGTCCGGATTCGATCTCAAGCCTCTTGCTTCACTGGGTCAATACCTTACAATTTTATCGTTAGTGATTGACAGGAGGGAAAACCAGAAAAAGGCAAAGGTGGCTGACTGGCTGTGGCCATGGTGAAGGTCACAGACTCGCCTTCAACTCCCTCCCCTTTTGTTGTAAAAAAAACTCAGTCCCCTTCCATCCGTAAGCGCATGAGCATGAATGCCATTGCCATATGATAATCGAACAATATTTATATATGGTGTCATAAATAGAAACTATATAAATTTAATCAAATTTAAATGATTTCACTTAGAGTAAAAGTAAAATTATATAAGTAATTTTTTGAACTGTTAGTGTCCGAACGTCTGATCCAGACACTAGCATCCATACGCTCACGCCAGCTGCGTCTGCCTATGCGCCTGCGCTTCTTCGCATGGGTGCCAACGCGCATGCGGGCCCACATAGGGCCGTGTCTCAATCTGCGCCCGCTCTTGTTTCCCGCGCCTGCCGCTCATGCCCCTTCGCTCCCACGCGCATACAGGCGGGGCCAGCAGTTCCAAGCAAGTGGTTGTGGCAGGTGGGTCACACTACAACATTGAAACACCAGATCTACTTTTACAATATCTAGATAAAACATTTACAATATTATACTTCTAAAATAGATAAAACATTTGGGGCATCCAGTTGAAACACCATTGCAGCATGTGCAACATGTCGATATTTTTTTGAAATATCCAGATGCAACACTTCCAACATACAAAAGAAGACCGATGTAACACTTGAGACATGCGTATATGTCGGAGGCCGATACTAGGGTACCCAAAGAGAGGGAGCTAATGACCATCAACATTGATTCATCCAAGCAGTCAAGAGCGCGACTACAGCTCCAACCGACCCCACGCGTGCAAGCTCCTCCTTGCTCGACCCCTGGGGGAGGGCTTCGCCTCACCCGACCCCAAGGCCATGGGTTCCGTCGCGCCCGACCTCTGGGGGCAGGCTTCGCCTCGCCAGACACCGAGACCACGGGCTCCGCCTCGCCCGACCTCCAGGGGCGGGCTCCTCCTCGCCCGACACCAAGGCCGCGGGCTCCGCCTCGCCCAACCTCCGGAGGCGGGCTCCGCCTTGCCCGACCCTTGGGTTCACGCTCTGCCTCGTCCGACCCCAAGGCCGTGGGCTCCGCCTCGTCCGACCCTTGGGTTCGCGCTCCGCCTCGCCCGACCCCAAGGCCACGGGCTCCGCCTCGCCCGACCCTTGGGTTGGCGCTCCGCCTCGCCCGACGGAGGCCCATACCGCCGCCAACCACTCTAGTTCCAAGCGTATGGGCCTGGGTCAAAGCTCTGATACCAGGGAAGAGACCGGCACGCTTCGATGTAACCCGTGGCCATGACGGGCCATACCGGAAGATTCACATCAAGAACAGCGTCAGGCGTATTGGTACAGTTCTGCCTGACCCTCGTACGAACACTGACAGGCACATCGGTTCACCACGACGTCTGCCAGGACGAAGTGAAGCACCGTAACCGGTAGACAACACCTACACATGGCGCCAATGATAGATAAGACCGCGACGTGGCGCCATCCCTGTTAACATCTACAGTATCGATGGGACCCGCATGAAGGAGAAGAAGGACCCGGTGACCATGCTCTCTCTCGTTCCTCTCTTTCCTTCCGCTGTAACCTGTGCTTTCCTTTGGCCTATAAAAGGGAAAGTAGGGCGCCGCATTAAGGGGCATCAGATTGATTCAAGCTAGATCCGAACAAACCCATCAAACCCTGAACACATGGCTGAGCAGCAACCAAGCTCCCTCGGCACCCGTTTACTCCTTTCACCAGATACTTGGGACATGTCCCTCTCTCGCCCGTTTATAACCCCTACTATGAACTTTTTAGTGCTAGTAACAAGAGCAGCAGTAATGAACTAGACGTAGAGACATTCTGCCCAAACCAGTATAAACCTTGTGTCATCTTAAGCACACCATCTGAGCCAGACGCACAATATTAGAAATTTACTCGTTGGTGGTAACTCAAAACATCGATAGTTGGTGCGCCAGGTAGGGGCCTTTTGCGCGTCTCAACATCCACACCAGGCCTCGGATGGCTAGTCGCAACGTCAGCTGGGTCCTGGGCGCGCACGTGCGCTTTAGGGACCTGGAC